CCCCCCCAATGAAAAATTCCTGGCTTGTATTTGTCTTCGTATCCGCACACTAGTGGAAGGATGGCTTTCCATCCGTCGTGATAGGGTGGATTTGGGGACTATTTTGGTATGAGCATGCATAGGGTGGTTTTGCCTCGGCTCCTGGGGAGCTTGTATCTTTTTAGCTTTGAGTTTATTCTCTTGTAAACTCTTTTTGTAGCTTGTTTTTTCTTGTTTTAATGCAATCCCAGGTTTATTGATAAAAAAAAAAAGAAAAATTCCTGGCCCACCCCTGGTTCTATACAAGAGAGTACCTATGGTGAGCATGCATGTCGGCAACCAGAATCTGGGTGTTAGTAAGTATACTTTTAGTAGAAGAGGCTAACACTTATATATGAATGTCTAAATGTTTACAAATGAGGTCTCTCTCTTTTTTTTTTTGTGTAAATATGATCATTTATATTTATTGTTTTCTTCTTTGCTACTATTGCCTGAACTTAGGCATTTTTTCATCCTTTTGCGTCTAGCAATTATATCCTTTATTTATAAATTATTTTTATCTTCTTGGGATCTACACCTCTTTTCTTCTATCTTTAGGTTTTTTATTTTTTTGTTTTTGTTTTTTTGAGGTTGCGGTCTTCCCTTTATATTTATGTTTCTTTTCTTTCCTCTCTTTTAGCTCTTTTGTCCATTATTTGATGCATTTAGAGTTCCTGATGATGAGAAATTGCAATAGGCTGTTTTCATCCCCTCCCCCTCCCCCTCCCCCTCCCCCTGAACGCGCTGTAGATAGATGCGTTCAATTGATTGAAATTATAAGTCTAATTACTCATTGTGGTTATTCATACTAATGTATGAGTGTTCAGTGTAGTTTTTTAATTCCTCGGTGTGTGTATGTGTGTACACGCGCCAAGTGCATGCTTGTGTTCTATAAGCTGATAATTTTAAATGCATCGTCTAGTTTGTAGATTTTAGTTTAAAGTGAGAAAAAATTAAAATATTCTGCTAGCTAAGATGCCCTAGTGGTTTGCTATAAATAAAAAAACATGATGAAGGCCTAAAAGTATCAGATATGTCAAATTCCAAAATTATGGAAGGTATGCACATATTATCAGTTAGTGTTACATTTCTGGTTTCTTTCAAGTTTCAGCTGGTGATTTTTACTTCTCTTACATCAATTGTCGTAGTTAGGTTCGAGAGAACTTAAAATTTAGTATTTGATATATGAATATATGTGGATGCATTGTCTAACAGAAAATCAACTTAACCTTGGAAGTATTTCAAGTATACTGTATCTGCGTCTTTGAGGGTATCCATGACAGATCCAATTGATCTATTCTGGATACAACTCAGTGTACTGATATCAAACTGCTGCCTGCCTTTGTTTATTCACAAGTTTCAAATTATTTAGACTGTTTGACGTTCTTAAGATTGAGGAAGTTAAGAATAACAAGTATCCAAATCTTATGGTCATGTGCAGGACTTGTTGGTCTTCAGGCAGCAGTTATAGAGCCTCAGATCTGCAAAGGCATTGTCCTTCTAAATATCTCTCTCCGAATGCTACATATTAAGAAGCAGCCATGGTATGGAAGACCTTTTATCAGATCATTCCAGAATCTGCTAAGGTAAAATGGGTTTTATGGTTTCTCCTTCGTCCAGTTTGGACCTGTCCATCTTAGGAGTTAAAAGTAGTCATGCTATTGTGACAGGAACACTGCTGTGGGGAAATTCTTTTACAGAAATGTTGCCACACCCCAATCTGTAAGAAGTATCCTTTGCCAGGTATTCCTTTATCAAAACAGTGGACACATGGTACTCTTTTAATCGGTGATAGTTTGTGTGATATCAAGAGAGAAACAAAAAGGAAGATAGAAATATGAAAAGTAAACTTGTAAGTTGTAATCAACAAAAAAAATGGTGGTATTAACCAACACAAACATCTACATCTAAAGATTCTATATAAAATAGATATGGTCATTGTTCCATGGATGCACATGCATGTCTTAATCTGTGAATGTAGCTGCAAAGTAGCAGATTCTTTGATGACAAGGAACTGATCACTTTTGACACACACACACATCTCTTGTAAGGTAGAGTTTCATCTAGGAAGCTGAGGAGATTCCTAGATATAGTAGGGCCAACCAGGAGAAGAAACAATCTAGCAAAGAAGGATCAACAGTGTGGAGAAAAACAATTTAGATAGATAACCATTTGAAACTGGTAGGACATAATTTCTTGGTTACAAACTGAAGCACGGAATCAAAGTTGCGCGGTTTTATCAGATTATATGATATGGAGTAGAGGAGTTCCAATCATGGAAATAAAAATCGCCAAAACTGATACGAAACGGGCGATACGTATAGGTATCGGTAGTCCCCTATACGATATTTATACTAATACGAAACGGGCGGTACTTATCATTTATTAGTTATTCGTGTTTTAATTCATTGTGTAATTGTAATTTTGTTTGTTACTTCTGTTTTTGAGTCGCTTCCCATGACTTTATATTTGATTCTTGTAACTCATTTGATATTTTTAAATTTAATTTGATATTTTTTAATTTTTTTCTTAAAAATAAAAATTTTATATGTATCCCCCAAAACCGAGACCGAAACCGATACGTGTAGGTTTCAGTTCAGACCGATAGATTCCCCGAAACTGTATTTTTAATCCTTGGTTCCAATAACACTGCTAATAAAGTTTATAAACAATGAAGGAGGAAAGTAGGATAAACTTACATGGAAAAGGTAATAGCGAACAACATTTGATTCTGTGAGGTATATAGAATAAACAGGATGAATCCTCTCATCTCCCAATTATGTGTTGACTGGTTCTGATGAATTGCCTTTCAGTGCTACCATGATACCTCCCAGGTGACAGAGGAACTAGTTCAAAAGATCCTGCTTCCAGGACTTGAGCCTGGCGCTGCAGATGTGTTTCTTGAGTTCATTTGCTACTCGGAGGGTCCTCTACCTGAGGAACTAATACCTAGAGTGAAGGTCAGACCCTTAACCCGAACCCTAGTATGCCAAATACAGTTCCCTGCTAATCATGCAGTTCTCTTTGTTAACAGAAATTTGTGTTTCTTATTTTCCATTCTCTTCTTTACAGTGCCCTGTTCTGGTAGCATGGGGGGACAAGGATCCGTGGGAACCCATTGAGCTTGGAAGAGCCTATGGAAATTTTGGTTCTGTAGAAGACTTCATTGTTCTTCCTGGTGTAGGTCACTGCCCTCAGGTCTCTCTCTCTCTCTGCACTCAAAGTTTTGTAATATAAATATTGTTCTTATGATGCTTATTAGCTTCTGATTACAATCTTTTGTTGCCGGTCATGAAGGACGAGGCCCCTCATCTTGTGAACCCACTTGTTGAATCGTTTGTGGCACGTCATGCTTCAGCCAGAGCTGGTGCTTCCTCAAAAACTATCTGATCCACTATTGGGTCAGTTTGTTGCTGCCCCTTGTTGCTCCAAAGATTATCATTGATGCCCATTCCCATTGCCAATTCAGATATGTTGTTCGATTCTTACTGCAAGTTCTTATAAAGTGGATTACAAAACCGCTTAGTTTGATGAATTTATCATATCATCCAAATTGAATACTGAGTAATACAAAGCTGTCAGTCACACGGGTGCTTTCAAGCTATAACCCATTCATTGTTCTTAAATAAATCTATACATGGTTCCGTCAATCTGTTAAACTACACATGAATTTATAGTTTTTCTTTTCCATTAATAAGTATTTTCATACTATTTTATATGGAACAGTGGCTTGGTGTAATATTACACAAACTGTATGATTTTCACCCATCTCTACTATCAGCACTTGCAGTCAGTGCAGGTGCTCAACAAACTAGAAACGGTCCAAATTACAGGCTACCACTTGGGAAGGTTTGACTCCGAATAATGGACAGGAGTGGATTGGATGTTCCTAATGGTTTGATCAATTATGTGCTAGAGAACAGTCAATGTAACTGTTTTTGGCCTATTCAGAAAAATGGGCGTATATCTATTCAATAACTGGACCATAACTAGGGTGGTCCTGATGGGTGGATGTATCGTTGACTGTTTGGGCGGCGGTGGCAGGCAGAGATGGGTGATGATGCAGCTGGCTGGTGCTGCTTCTTGTTAATTCCTGAAAATAAGAAACAGATGAACAATGTCTATTTTCTAGTATAAAAGGACGAGATTGCCCTTATTTCATTTTCAATATTGATTTGAGTTGTAATCAATGCTGTTTTAAATAATAGGCGATTTTGTCTTTTCATTGGGAGGCGCTAGTCACTTCCCTTATGCAATTTTTTTTTTTGCTTAAGTTATCATTTACCTACGTTAGTAGGGTTAGTGTTAGTTTGAGGATTGGAGCTCTTGTGAACTCATCACCCATCACCCGGGGGATTGGATCCCAGACCTCCTCCCTCAACAGAGAATCCTAAGAGGGTTTAAAATTTAAATAGGTATTCCAAGACTCCTAATACACCCCTCCATTGGCGCAAGAGGCGCAAGAGGCGGAGTGTTCCTTTATACAAATTCATTTATATCTAAATAGACCTCTCTGGTCCCTCAACATGGGGTTGAATTAAAATTGGGGGCCGTGCTGTTGCTATTTGCAAATGGGAAACCTGTGTCTCACTTTTGCATTCAGGCTATTCAATACTAAACTGGTAGTGCAAATAATTTGTTCTTGGTATTCCGGAAAACATAGTGACTTTGGACTTGTTTAATGAATAAAATATCTAAATTAGGTTACTTCTCTTAATTCCACTGAAAAAAAATGTGGCTGTTTTTTCTTTTTGGCTCTTTAAAAGGAGTGTAACACAAGGACTTCCCAGGAGGTAACCCATCCTAGTACTATTCTCGCACAAGCACACTTAACAGCGGAGTTCTGATAGGATCTAGTGTAGGAATGCGTGATCACAGCAGAAAAATCAATCTCTTGGATCCGATCAATAAAATGAGATACAAAAGTAGAGCTATAACCTTTCAGAAGAATATGATCGTTTTTTTTTTTTGGCTCTTTAAAAGGAGTGTAACACGAGGACTTCCCAGGAGGTCACCTATCCTAGTACTATTCTCGCACAAGTACACTTAATAGCGGAGTTCTGATAGGATCTAGTGTAAGGATGCGTGATCATAGCGGAAAAATCAATCTCTTGAGTCTGATCAATAAAATGAGATACAAAAGTAGAACTATAACTTTTCAGAAGAATATGATCTAAGTTGAGCTAGGATTTCTCCACAATGGGATTTCATACAAAACTTGGATGTCTGGCTGATCACACTTGAACAAAACTCAAGTGGCACAGGAAATATTCTCAAGAGAGACAAAATCTTTCACACAAATGGAAAGTCTCCACTTTTGGTTTCTTGGTTGCATTCTTTCCTCCTTAGCCAAGAGGATTTATACATCATCAAAGAGAGAGTCGTTAGACCCTTCCATAATTATTCCCTTATATCAAGCAATTAGAATCTAGATCAATGGTCCAGATTCAACCACATTTATTATAGCTCTCTTAGATCAAGTAATGGCTTTAACGGCTCTTTGAAGTCTTAATGGCTTGGTCAAACTATTTGTTAAGCCTTTGACCAAGATCCAACAGTCACCATTCACCAAGATACCCAATCTGGCTTAGAGATGATCTAACACTCCATATCTAACAATATTAACATGAAATTGTGCACATATGAATGCATGAAATTGAATATAATTAAATATCATATAATATATTTGGAAAACAAGAACATGCATGTGTAATGATGTGCATGAGTGTGATGCATGTGAGAATCCATATCATTGAGGTTAGATTTACCCATCAATGATTATAGCTATTTGATCGAGTGCTTATAGCCACACGATTTCTATATCCAACATCTCCCACTTGGCTATAAACCCGAGATGTTTCTATATCAAACCCTTAGAGGCTATATGCCTTCTAATTCTTTAGTCCGATTTCCCAAATTTTAATGGTTTTATCGCGGCCTCATAATCACAATATATGTGAATACATTTATCAATCCTTAAGTCATTTAAAAATATCAATATCCATACAACTTCATTTGTTGTAGTACTACTGCAAGCGATGTATTCCGCTTCCATAGTATGTCTAGCAACACATACTTGCCTTTTATTGGACCAAGTAATGGTCGAACCATCCATCAATAATACACATCCTGATGTGAATTTTCTATCATCAGGATCTCTTGCGAAATCTGCATTGCATAATCCCACAACATCCAAATCATATTATTGGAAAAATTAACTCAAGATTAATTTACTTTAAATATATATAATTCAATACATATTTTGCAACTATCCAATGTGCTAATCCAGGATTAGTATGAAATTTAAAAATCAAGCATACTGCAAAATTGAGATCTGGTCTAGTACACAACATTGCATACATTAGTATAATGATCTTTTAAATAACTAGAAGGCTTTATCTCCCTTTGTATTCTAGTTATAGTAACTTCAAATACTTTTACCCTTTTATTTGACTTATTTTGTTCTACATTGTTTTCTAGAAAATAGACATCTCTACTTTCTGTCATTCTTATAGAACCGTTATAATGATGGAATACAATTCTTAACTATTTCTAATAATTATTTGAACTTTCACCTTTACCAAAAATTTTCTTGTCATATTACCAATTATGCAAGATTGACATAACTTTAAGTTTTTGTCTATAATTTCATCTTATTATAGTTTATATGTCCAAGCATCATGTGACATAATACAAATTAATATTCATTACACTCATTAATAAAAGCAGACGACTTAGAAATTTTATTAGAAAATATTTAAACGATATAAGCCATCTGTTTTAGTTCTCCATACAAGAATACGTCCGTGTTTTACTATAGACACTTTTGACGAACGGAAACGTATGTCAAAACCTTTTTCATCTAGACATGGTACAGATAAGAGATTACGCCTTATTCCAAGCGCATACAATACATTAGTGAGTACAAGGTTCATTTTTCCAAGCAACGACAACTTGAGAGTTCCTATTCCTTGAACCTCATAATATGTGTTATTATCCATATAGAGCTTGTGGTTGCCGAATTTGATATTCTTGAACTTTACAAAGTTCTATTTAGATCTAGCCACATGTTTTGATGAAGTTGAGTCCACCCACCAGGCTTCAGAGTCGCAATCAGCAAGAAACGGTTCTGACACCACACAAACAATGTTTTTAGATCTTTGTTTGTCATTTTTCATTTGAGGACAATTGATCTTGTGGTGGTCTGGTCTTTCACAATTATAACAGTTTCTAAAAGTCTTGTTATTCTTGTCAATTCTCTTTTCAAATTTATAAGAGTTATGTTTGAAATTTTTCTTGAAGGGTTTTTATATGATTTTTTTATTAGAAAACGATGCAGGAGTTTCTACCATATTGACTTCATTAATTTTCTTCTTAGCTCTTCTTTGAGCTTCCACTCCTAATAACATAGGAAGAGATTTATAGTAACTTGTTGTCCAGATAAATTAAGGGCAATCACAATTGATTTCCAAGAATTTGGTAAGCTATGTAAAATAGTTGAGACTTGCATTTTATCTGGTATAAGATTTCCCACAATAGCTAATTCTTTAGCTATTACTATCATTTTATTACCATGTTCAGTTATATTTTCACATTCTTTCATCATAGAAGTATTAAATTGTTCTATTAATAATTGAATATATGTTTCAGATGCACTACCATAGACAAGTTTAATGGCATCAAACATTTCTTTAGCTGCTTCACGTTCTTCAAATATTATTTCAAGATTTGGATCCATGAATGTGAGCATTATGGATCTTGCCAATTTATCATTCTTTATAAAATTTTCTTATACATTTCTTGCAGCTTCTCCTGCCCTTAGAGGGGGTTCATCAGGATAAGGGGTATCAATTTCATACTCCACTTTATCTTGAAATAATATGTGTCTTATTCTCCTTTTCCAGGTTGAATAATTATTGTTATTAAGCTTTTCAGTTTTACATAATTCTGAACTTACTGCTCTAGGAGTCATAATATCTCAGAAAAATAATTAGTAAAACAATCACTGTATACAAATAGATCTAATAATATTTTCTGGTTTTCATTAAATTTGATTTTTAAATAAACAATGTCTCAATATGCTCTATGGTATTTGAAGTGCTATGTTTTGCAATCTTTTAATTTTTAATCAAACAATAACATCATTTTCAGCATATATCAAATTCTAAAAATATTATTTTTTGCATATGAATATTTCTAACTTATATTCCAGCAAAATCAGATTTTGTTTTAGGTATTGATTACGAATCCAGAAGTTCAACTATGTGTCATTGTAATTTCCAGAATCTAATTAAGTTCCGTTAAATTTAGAATTTCTGTCAATTTCCAAAAATTACAGAATTACTATATTAAATCAGTCCCTAGTTCTCAATAAATATGCACAAATGTAGATACTGAAATTTTCTGGATATCAACTGATATTCCAGAGGTTCATAATATAGTATCACTAAAAATTTCAGAATTAGGTCAAGTGCCTTTAAATTTAGGATTTCAATAAATTCTAAAATTACATAATATTATAATAAACAAGTCTCATATTCCCAAAAATATGCTCAATAATTTCAGATTATCATATACCAAAAAATTCTAGAATTTCTAGATGCTTTAGGGATGTGATATTATGCAAAAAATTAATCTCTTCTCCATAATTTTATTGGTAATTTATCAATCAGACATGAATCTATTTCTTTTAAGTATTTGATATGCAATAATAAAATAAATTGAAACGTGTGCACTTGATTTCGTTAGATTGGAAAAAATTCTTAAAATCACGAAAGCCTTTGGTTCGACTTGAACATAAAGAGTCAAGCCTCCCGCTATTAGTGACTGAGATCATTGGGCGGAGGTTGATAATGGGTCGGATTGGGATCGCCGGTAGGAACTAGATCTGTGATCGGCAAGATGATCGCCGGTTGAAAACTGAATTCACCGGTAAGCCATTGATCTTTGTCCAACGACAAATGAACTGATGCTTCCCGCACGTGAGGAATCCCAAAAGATGGAGTTGAAAACCACTGAGTTTTCTTTTCTTAGTGTGTAAATAGAACAATGGAAGATCTTTTCCACTTATCGTAACAGATGGACTAAACTTTCACTAAAAGATGAAATAGAATGATAACTTGTTGGACCAAGAGACTTTTGAAGAAAGATTTCTCCAAAAGGAAGTACACAACACGTGGAAAAGATTTCTCCCAAAAAGATAGTACAAACCAAAACCGTGGAGAAGTTTCCTTCTAAAAGAATTAAGTATTGATTCAATACTTCTTGACACAATATGATACGGTGAACACTATGCTCTGATACCAATGTAGGGATGCGTGATCACAGCGGAAAAATCAATCTCTTGGATCCAATCAATAAAATGAAATATAGAAGTAGAGTTACAACATTTTAGAAAAATATGATCTAAGTTGAGTTAGGATTTCTCCACAATGAGACTTCATACAAAAACTTGGGTGTGTGGTTGATCACACTTGAGCAAAATTCAAGTGACATAGGAAATATTCTCAAGAGAGACAAAGTCTTTCACACAAATGGAAAGTCTCCACTTTTGGTTTCTTGGTTGCATTCTTTCCTTCTCAGCCAAGGGGATTTATACATCATCAAATAGAGAGTCGTTAGACCCCTCCATAATTATTCCCTTATATTAGGCAATTAGAATCTAGATCAATGGTCCAGATTCAACCACATTTACCATAGTTCCCTTAGATGAACTAACGACTTTAACGGCTCTTTGGAGTCTTAATGGCTTGGTTAAACTAATTGTTAAGCATTTGACTACGATCCAACGGTCACCTTTCACTAAGACACCCAATCTGGCTTAGAGATGATCCAACACTTCATATATCACAATATTAACATGAAATTGTGCACATATGAATGCATGCAATTGAATATAATTAGATATCATATAATATATTTGGAAAACATGAACATGCATATGTAATGATGTGCATGAGTGTGGTGCATGTGAGAATCCATATCATTGAGGTTAGATTTACCCATCAATGATTATAGCCGTTTGATCGAGTGCTTATAGCCATACGATCTCAATATCCAACATCTAGTGCATTAGCGCTGGTATAATCGCACCAAAATG